AGAAACATGAGGGTGGAACCATGATTTTGCGCCATAGGCAAGTGTAGTATTTTCGAAAAAATGAGGATAAAAAATTTTTGCTTTCTCAAACTGGATTTCCGTGATAATATTCAGATTCGCATTTGCATGTGTCACAATTTGTCTGTAGAGCCTTTTCAAAAACATCTCCAAATTCTAGTTTTTGGGAAATTTGTAGGTGGAACTAAGATTATGCGTCGCAGTGTATATACAGGAGTGGTCAGAAGACGCTTTGCTCATGATTCATATCAGCAAGTTTCAGCTCGCAAAAATTGTCGTGGTTTTCGGCAAAAATGTCTCCTGATGCGCTGATGCGAACCCATATGCACAGCCCTTCTCTTCTTCGGAATATGACATCATTTGCTACTGTCGTCAAGCCAAGGAGGTTTTCCATGATTGATCAACCCGAAGCAGTCTCTTCTCTGGTATACACGGGGGTCCAAAAAGTCACCTTGCCCATGACGCACACCACCATCACCCCATCATCGGGAAATGCTATGATGTCGCATAAATAATATAAGTAATGAAGAATAAAATATTTAAGAAAAGCAAGGTTGCTGTGGTGGTGCGAAATTGTCGACGTACCTAACGATCACCAACACTTGGCATGGAATCCTGCCATTCTTGTGCTTCTTTTACGCTTATGTTTGTAGGACGTATGTGGCGAGTTCATGATGAGGTTATTGCATCCATCGAACTGCTTGGGAATTCGAGCGTTCGCCGATACCTATGCATGTCCAGGAACTTCTTCGCTGCGCTGACAAGTATATCTCTCACAAATTCAAAGTTTGTGATTTGTTCGAATCTACGAACCCAAGCAAGCAGATATTTTGCTCTTCTTTATAGGATGTCGTTCATGCTGAGGAGTTTCTGCAGCTTTCTGCTGATCGTTTAATTGAAGTAATTTCATGTGATAAGCTCCGCGTGCGATCAGAGAACCAGGTATTATGACAAGTTTTCCTACATGTAATACTACGCTTGTTATTCTTGTCTGTTTGCATTACTCACTGGTAAGTGATCTTCCAGGTTTTCACAGCTGTGCTTGAATGGGTGAAGGTTTGACCTGGCAGCTCGGAAACAGTTCCTCCCTAGGGTAAGGATTCTGTACTCGTCAGTGCTTGACAGCCCTCTGATAGACTGCCTTGTAGGTTTTGGAGCACGTACGGCTTTCGTTCTGTCAACCAGAG